CAGCAGCAGCAGCAGCAGTTCCGACCCGTCGATGTGTTCTGCGCGCATGTTGTCCGTGGGGAACTGCTGCAGGTAGCTGCTGATGGGGGCCTGCCGGATGAACTCGACGGCGGAGCCGAAGGAGAAGCCGCCGCTGCTGCTGCTGCTGCTGCTGCTGCTGCAGCAGAACTGCTGCAGGTTCAAGTAGGGAAACGTCAGGCAGTAGTCCGTGCCCGCCAAAAGGCATGCATCTTGCAGCTGCTCAGCAGACACCCCGAGGGCCAGCAGCAGGGGCCCCCGGGAGAGCCACAGGAAGCAACTTTGCGCAAAGTTGATGCAGCAAATGACTTTGGGGGCCCCAAACAGCAGCAGCGAGGGGGGCCCCACAGCAGCATCTACGTGGCTTTGCTGCAGCAGGTAGGCCAGCTGCGGCAGCGCGAGGTACGGGGCCCGCAGCACTTCCTGCCCCTCCTGCTGCAGCAGCTGCAGCAGGAAGCTCTCCAGCTCGCCGCTGCTGCTGCCCCGGCTGCTGCTGCAGCTGCAGCCCCCCAGGCTGCCCGCGCCCCCCGCTGCGCTGCTGCTGCTGCTGCTGCTCGGCGCGGGGCTGCTGCTGCTGCCGTTGCTGCTCGCCGGCGTGCCCCCCGACGCCGTGCTGGGGCCCGTCGCCGTGGAGGGCGCCGGGCTGCTGCAGCAGCAGTTCGCCGCCGCTGCTGCTGCTGCTGCTGCTGCTGCTGCTGCGCCCCCACTGTAGTAACGCTCCCACACCTCCCGCTGCGACTCCTGCTGCATGAAGAGCCGGTGGCCCTGCGGCTCGACGCCGCGGAAGACGAAGACGGGAGTTATTTGCTGCTGCTGCAGCTGCTGCAGCTGCTGCCGCGCAGCAGCAGCAACTGCAGCACGCGTCTCCCCCGCCAGCTGCAGCAAACCCTCCCCGCAGGTGGACAGACACCGCAGAAAGTAGGCCCCGTCTATCCCCAGCCGCCGCCCCACAAGTTCTTCCGTGCTGCTGCACTGCAGCAGCTGCCGCTCCTGCAGGAAGCTGTGGAGGTGCCGCACCCGCATTTCCGCGATTTCAGCTCCAATTTTCTCCAATTTTGATTATTTTAATTCTTTTTATTTTATTTTATTTGTTTTATTCCGTTTTCTTTTCTTTTCGCGCAATTTCCACCTTTTTTCCCGTCTTCCCGCCGCCGCGCGACCCAAATACACCCCGAAACCGCAGCAGCAGCAGCAGCAGCAGCAGCAGCAGCAGCAGCCGCTCTCCGCCGCAGCTCCGCAGCAGCAGCAAGCCAAGCAGCTCCAGGAAAGGCGCTTTTGCTGCTGACTCCTTTTTTCCAAAACTTTTTTCTTCTGCTGCTGCTGGGCAGCAGCAGCACTTCTTGAGGTGTACGTACACCCCAGACCGCCAGCGCGGCAGCACAAAAAACCCAAAAACCCTAAACCCTAAACCCTAAACCCTAAACCCTAAACCCTGCGCCGCCGGCGGGAGACAGACACACGCCGCGGCTGCTGCTGGCGCCCCGGAGCTGCAGCAGCAGCTGCTGCTGCTGCCGCTGCTGCAACAGAGCGCAAAGGAGAGACAAACGCCGCGAAAAACGGCAGCAAAAGACCAGCAGCAGCTGCGGCTGCAGCAGCAGCAGCAACTGCAGCAGCAGCAGCAGCAACGCCCACCGACAGCAGCAGGCGCCGCCCACAGCGGCCGCGGACTTAGCCGGGAATGGAGACAAACTCTTTTGCTGCTGCTGCTGCGCTGCTTCTAAATAAATAAAAGAAAAGGAAAAGAGGTCTTGCTGCTCCCCTCACGGACGCAAGCCAGCAACCACCACCTGCTGCAGCAGCAGCAGCAGCAGCAGCAACTGCAGCGGCAACTGCAGCAGCAACTGCAGCAGCAACAAACTCCGGCGAAAACTAGTTAAAAACACAAACACAGAAAACAAAACATATTTCTTTCATTTCCCTTAACCACGAGAAGCACCAGTCAATCGACGCGTTGGAAGCTGCAGCCACTCCTGCTGCTGCTGCTGCTGCTGCTGCTGCTCCTGTTCCGGCTGCCGTTGCTGCTGCGGCGGCTGCTGGAACGGCAGCTGCTGCTGCGCCCTTAGCTCCCCAGCCTCAGCAGCAAATAGTAAAGAATTATTTTAATTTAAATTAATTATTTAATTTTAATTTCATTTTGCTGCTGCAGCTTTTGGCTGCTGCTGCACTCTGCTGCACTCACCCAGCGGGC